CCTTCCCAAGGTCACACATCCAGGGTAGGCCACCTGTGGGCTTTGAGTGTGGGGGCAGGGGGCGTTGAGCTCAGGCTGACTATGTGGAGGGGCCTGGCCACCAGGTGCTCCTGCCCACCAGTGTCCCCAAAGGGAGTTATACTGTGTGCACGTGGGTGGGGAGGAGGGGGCACTGTGTGTTCTCAGAGCAGAGAAGCAGCCAGAACTGCTGGCAGGAAATAGTGGGCACCGTGGGCAGGGGCCGGCTGGTGACTATCCCCCCCAAGACCCATCATCCATCAGCCAGTGGGGGTGGGGCAGCCAGGGGGCCCTGGGAGAGATGATCTTGGAGAGGCTGGGAGAGCAAAACTTGTCACCTCAGTGGTCCCTGTGGTCAGCCCCTGATACTGGGGAGTCTGCTAATGGGTTCTTGGCCATGCCAGGACCTCTGTCCAGGTATAGACGCTGAGGCCTGACAGGAGGCAGGATTTAGCCAAGGTCACACAGTGATTCTGATGGAGGCCTTCCACTCAGCCATGTGGTGGCCAGTCCTCATCAGGCCAGGCCAGGTGGTACCTGGCCAGGTCCCTGAGACCTGCCTGGTCTGTGGGTCATTTAGGGCCAGCATCGCCTCTTCCAGCTCCCTCTCAGCCCAGCACTCTTGGGACTGGTGCTTCAAGAATCTTATCTTTAGTCCCAGTGCCCACACCCTCATTTGAGGGCTGGCTTCTGCCTTGCTGTGTGACCTGGGGCTGGGCACCCCCCTCTCAGACCTTACACCTGTGCCAAATACTAGCAGTGACCCAGTTAGGCTGGGACCTACTCAGTCCAGACCTCTCACTTGATCACGTGATAAATTCCTGCACACCTGACTTTCCTGCCTCAGGGCCTTTGCATGCGCTATGTCCACCTGCCGGGCTGCTCTTCCTATACCTTCTTGCAGGTGCAGTGGAGAGGGGATGGGCTTTGGTATCACTGGAATCTGGGTTGGCACCCTGCTTCTCCACTTCCGGGCTGGGGCAGCTTTCTGGAGTTGCCATGTCTTCATGTGTAAAATGAGTGTAGCTGCAGCTTGCTCCAGGGAGCGTTGAAGAGGTGGCATGAACCCCGGGTGGGAGGATGTGAGGGGAAAAAGTGTGGGTTTCCACACCCTCACCAGCATGCCCCATTCCACCCACCAGCCTGCACTGGAGCAGTCGGCGATGTTGAGTTCTGGGGAGGGGAGCTGAATTGGCCCTGGACCCTACCGAGAACAGCCCAGCTGCAGGCCTCTTCCGTGGGCCCTTCCCAGTGGCCCTGGGTGGCAGCCTCCCTTTAGGGAGAAGCTCAGAGTGGGAAGGACTTGCCACTCAGCTGCTAAGAGGCGGGATTTTAATCACGCCATTTAACCTTGTCTGTGCTTCAGTTTCCCCATCTGTAAAATGGGGTAATAGGAATGGCACATAGTAGGCACTAAATAAATAATTGCTATTACTATTGTCATTACTCATATTCTTCCACTCTGAGGCAGGAGTCCTTTCTATATTAAAAAATCACCTGTAGAAAAACACCGCAGTTAAACAGGCAATTCTTGTGAGAGTCTGAAGGAAAACGAGAGAATAAGGTGAAGGTCCCTGCCCATGGGGAGCTTCCATTCCAGTGTGGGAGGCCACAGTGGAGGCAGGAAAGGGACACAGCCCCCATCTGTGAAATGGGCGCGTTGGGCCGATGCCGTCTCCTCTGCTGCTCCAACCCCAGCTTCCTCCTCTGTGGACGGGGCCAGTGCTGGTGGTACCCACCCCACCAGCTGTGGTGAGGAGGGAGGGGACGTCAGTGGGGGACCCAGCCTTGGAGGTTCAGAGGGTTTATGTGGTCACTCCCTGAATGAGTGGCCCTTCTTGGGCTGTGTGGCCTTGGGCCAGCCTCTCTCCCTGTCCTGGCCTCCATTTCTCCGCCTTATGGAAAACAGACTGGCCAAGGGACCCTGCGTAGTTCCTTGTCTAAGGACTCCCAGCAAGAGCCCTGCTGGGACCAGTGGCCTTGGGGAGAGGACCTGATAGTGGCCTGGGGCCAGGAGACCTTGGAACCCCAGCTGACCCTCTGCTGTCTTAGATTTTGGCCTGGGCACCTGACTTGGCTTCTCTGACCCTCTCTCTGTCCCCTCCTCTGAAAGATGGGGCTGATCGTCCCTGTGTAGCAGGGTCCTGGTGCGAACAGGGGAATAATAATATTAACAGCAACGGTAAGGGTCCCTTGATCAAGCATGGCCTGTGTGCCCAGGGCTTGGCATGGGTTAGCTCATTGGCCTTTGCAACTGCCTCGGGATAACTGTGGACGTCTCCATGGTACTGAAGGAGGCTTTGGTCGACTTGTCCAGAGTCCTCCCATGGGCTGCAGCAGGGTCCCCCACTAACCACAACGTTATATCCCACTTGGCTCGGGCAGGTGCCTGATGGGACCTTTCTGCTCCCCTCTCCTCAGAGGCAGGATAGATGGCTGCCAGTGGGCTGTGCCCTCCCCACTGCCTCCTCCCTCCTTCATCCCCACACATTCCTGCCACAATCTCCACCACCCACTCTTCCCTGGGCCACTGTTATCAGGAGACATTCCTGGACTGACTGAGAACAGCTTCCACCTTGGGTCCTTCTGAGAGGGGGTGCGATTGCTGATACAGGCCCTGCCGGTGGCTCCCTTGGGGGATGGGCCCTGGGGCACAAGGCTGTGAAGCCCAGACAATCTGAATCTGCCTATTGATGCTGTCTCTTATGAGCTCTGTGACTTTAGGCAAGCAACTTGACCTCTCTGTGCTTCAGATTCCTCATCTACAAAATGGGGCTGATCACATAGGGCTGCAGTGGGTTCACCTGGGCTCATGCATGTAGTACACCTTTTAGCATGGTGTCTGGCACACAAGAGTCTATACCAATCAACTAGCTGTTATCATCTGAGAACCAATTGTCCCTCCTCTTTGTGGAGTCCCAGTTTAGATAACATCTGTGGTCACCTTCTGATAAGTGCACATCAGCAGGGCTACTGTGGGCTTTCTCTTCTCTAGGCCTGTGGGACAAGGAGAGAGCAGAGTTGAGAGAAGCTGTTTGCAGAAGCTGAGAACCTGTTGTATGACCTCAGGCAGCTTCTGTCCCTCTCTGAGCTTCCTTTTCCTGGTCTGCTCTATGAGCACTCAGGCCTGGGTGAGGCTCAGCCCCTCATTGTCCCCATCACTGCACTGTCTGGAATTTCTCCCTTGGCTGGTCCAGCCACTTTTGTCTATCTTGCCCACTGCAGAGCCTGACACATAGTGGGTGCTCAGTTAAGCTTTGTTGAAAGAGTTAATGAATGCACAGTGATTGAGTGAACCCCCGGGGCTTTCCTACTTCCGGGCCTTCGCTTGCACAGCTTTCTTTTCCAGGAGTGCCATCCCAGTCTCTGCTTTGTGGAACTTCGTGTCCTTGAAGCCCTTTTCACATGCTGCCTCTTCCAGGAAGCCTTTTCCAGTTTCTCCCAGTTGGAGGGGATTGCTGGTGCTCTGAACACTTGGTCCAACTGAGGCTCTCAGGTGGCACCTGTTACTGTCCACCTTGGTGTGCACAGTAACATATTTGTAACCAGCGAGAACCATGCACTTTCTAGGAGTCAGGCGTGGTGGGGAGTCCTGTACATGCATTGTCTTATTTAATCCTCCACAACAACCTTGCAAGGTAGATATTATTATTATTATCTCTCTCTTTACAGAGCTCAGGCTTAGAGAAGTGAAGTGACTTGCCCAGCTATGAGAGAGCGAGCCAGGATTTGAAGCCAGGTAAGCCTGTGGTTGTTTTTTTTTTCTTAAAAAGGAAAGAGAAAGTATTAACACACACACAGTAAAAAAAAAAGAATTCAAACAGTATAAAAGAAAGCAGGGAAAAGTACATTTCTCTTGCACCCAGGTCTCCTTGCCAGAGGCAGCCACTGGGAGGTGTTTCAGGTGTGTCCTTCTCAGGAGATCCAGGCATATCTAAGTACGTGTGTCAGAAAAATAAAAAAATAAAATGGTAGCGCATGGTATACCCTGTTCTACACCTGACTGTTTTCTTTCGATTATATACCTTGGAGATCATTTTGTGCTGCTGCGTCTTTCTTTTCTCAGGGTTGCATAGTATTCATTGTGTGGATAGAGACCATGCTTTATTTAATTAGTGAAGAATATTCGACTTGGTTCCAGTCTTTGCTTACTATAGACAATTCCACGATGAATATACTCAATCCTATGCGTAGTGTTTGTGTGTGAGCATACTTGTAGAATTAATCCCAAATTGCAGGGTCAGAGGGTGTGTGCTCTTGTAATATTGATAGATATTGCCAGATTGTCCTTCAGGGAGGTTG